GAGATTTGATCTACATTTCATAGTGTTGCAGCATTAACATTGAAAATGCGACTGATGCATCACTGACAATCTATTTACTGTTTCAGAGGAACTAAAGGAGAAAATAAAACTATTGGAAATGAAGAGGATTGAATTTTCAAAGTGTAAGTTGAATTTATCGAAATGATTTAGAACTGGCTAGTTCAAACCCCACAGGATAGAATAAACTGGCTCTTGGCTGAAATGAAGGAAGATGCCATGCAGTATTATTGAGGTAAGTAAGTCAGTACATAGGTTGGAAACGTATTTTAAATTTCTTACTAACTGAATCATTGAATATGAAGTTGAAAATGGATTTTGCCATTAGCTGAAATCATCTAGATGAATCCTTGAGAAACAAGTAACGCTGAACATTTGTTCACTCTTACTTCTTGGTCACTCATCTGTCGACTCGTCACGTGATCACAATCGGTAGTTGTACGCAGTCATTATCAGGGTTGTTACAACTGTTGAGAACATGGTAAATCCAAGTGGCGCTTTGCAAAACTGATTTCGTGTAAGGGGGACCGTAGCTTAAACTCACTGTGATAATCAACTGCAGCTGCTGGATTCAACATAGAACTTGGCACCGAAGTGCAGCTGTTCGAGTTGCCACGTTCCAAATAGCCCACAAAGGTAGACAAGGAAAATAAGTGAAGAGAATCAATAGAGTTTCGATAAGTATAAGAGTGAAACAGAATGAGTAATGGTAGAAAGGAATATGAAAGATTACAGAGACTGAATACATTTGCGCCAGTGACAACGATTTTGAGCCATGTCACCTATTGTCTCCAGCCACCATTGATTCTTAGAGTCCCGAGGGCGGGCCCCAACCCGGAAGTCTGCATCTCCCTCCCTACCTGACTCAGTTTAACTGTCAAGGATTTCATGGATTGATTGATGCCATGTTTTTGTTTGGCCACCAGTTACTCTTTTCCAACCTGCACACCTATATCAGCTAGTAATGCCCGTCGGGGGAGGCGATGGTTAGGCATGCGCAGCACGTGACCTAGCCATCTCAATCTATGTAACTTTATAGTCTCTTCGATTGATTTTCCCTCGTTGCCCAACACTCTAAGCCTAACGTCAACATTACTTACCTTATTATACCATCTAACGCGAGAAAGAGATCGTAAACATCTGTGGTCAAAAACACAGATCAACACACCTTGATCTGTGTTTCAATCTTCCCTGGGAGAATCGTCATAAGATTAGTGTCACCGTTAGTTAGATGAGAACTGTCGACAGTGATTTCCGTCATACCAGATAGGTTTCTGTCTATTCCCAACTCAGTTCTACTCTGCTTCTGGTTTCATTTCGTTTCAGCTGCAGAAAAAAGGAGGTCGGTTCGAACAGAACTCAAACAATATTGGTGATGGGAATATATCGTTTGCTTATCTCTTTTTTGTTTTATTAATTAAATACAACATTTTTCTTCCTAAGATTTTGTTTCGATTGGCGTTTTCTGTCATTCGAGTAGAGTGAGCTGAGTGAGAATGAAGTAGCTAATTACGTTAAATAGGTTGACGGGTTATGCACAACTCGAGGATTATTGTTTCGACTGACGATGTGTATTGAGTAGCCGAGATAAAATGTCAATGAAGAGAAGTGTCCTTATCTTCCAGAGACTACAAAGCAAGTGTACAGAGACAGAAATCAAATCACCTCGACACTTTTAGTTTATTTGTTACACGCATTTTCATGAAACACAATAGCAAAGTCAACTTGTGAAGATCTAGGCATGCGGAGATTGATTACACGTGGGTTGGTTGTCTATAGGTTATTTTGTTAACCACAGTGCACAATATAATACATTGAATGGAAATTCTCAGTCACAGTATGCGTCATTCGAATGGCGCGGACTCGTCATTCACGTTATGGAGAAATATCATCGTCTGAGAATCACGGAATTAAAAGCTTCGATTTTTGAACCATGTAATCAGGTCAACATTATGTTTTGAGGTCTCTTATATACAAATTTTAAATTTCTTGATTATTGGAATGTGATCACACTAATATCGAATTTTTAAATGTGTATCATATTTCGCAGAATTGTCAAAGAGAAAAGAGATTATTCTGGTTGTTTTATATACTTATATGTAGGGGATTACAGGTGAAGCTAGTGAAATGACGACTCTACTAACAACCTTTGTAAATGACGTTCAACACCCATCTCATTGTCTCATTCTTCAAGGGTGAGATGTACAGATATGGACACCAAGAAAAAGCGACATACTGAGTGAACTTCTAGATGATGTGGACATGTAGGCGTTGACAGGATTTTTAATCGTGAAGCACGACTCTCCTCTGTGTCAGTCGAAATCGCAATATAATACTTTGACACGATTATACTTGCCACATTTTCCATGTCCCAGGGTATACTTCAGTGAATTGATGCTTGCGTCTCTCCGGATGTTTGTCCACCTCTCCATCTATCCACGCGCGTGTGTGTGAGTTGTATGATGATCGAGTTGTTGTTGAATGAATGAGTGATTGAGTGAGTGAGTGAGTAGAGTGTTGAGAGAATGATGATTGCAGGTACATGTGAAGAAGTCAATATATGCATATGTTCGTAATCAAGTGATTGTTGAAAGGATGCCTTTTATCATCAAATTGCTCAGATGGTGATCTTTGAGGTATTGATGGGGAGAGACGTAAAGCGAGAGAGAGCGAGAACTGGGAATGCTCTTAAGTGATCATGGAAATTTATTTCTTCCTTGGTTATCCTAGTGACGATGAAACGGTGTGCTTGTTTTCGGCCTGTTTGTGTCTCTGATTGTGTCTGAATTGTATACACGTAAGCCTTGACATGTCAAATGATACTTCCGGAACAGGATGAAACTAAGCAGTCAGTCAGTACATAGAGTGAGAACTTGTGAGCAGGAAAGTGAATGACAAGATTTGTCGAGTGATGAATATCAGTGCTGACTAAAGGAAGCATTGATTTCTACCAGTTAAACTTGTATCGTGACTGACCATTCGATGACTCGACAATTGTGTGTGTGTGAGTGATGAAATCAAGCAGTGATACAGCAATCATTCAATGATTAATTACTGTGTGCTTATACCATCAAATTGATATGCTCTTTGCATGATGGAATCACACTGTACTACATTGTACTGTGATGCACTGCGCTGTTTTGTTCAGTTCTGTCCCACAGTGTATGCAAATGCTGTATTCTCCTCATATGTGCGGTGACTGCCCAAAAGTGAATGTGATTTGGGAGTTCAGTGGATTTTGATGCTTCACTATCACCTCCCGCTGACAAGGTGGTGGTTGCAATCGATCAGATGGGAAAGCCAAGCTAATGGGAGAATCAATGACTTCACAGTTGACGAATAGCCAAAGCATGATGGATGAAGTAAAAATGATGTGTGGCTGATGCCATTCTCGCTCGATGAATGCCTACGTATCTCAGTCTCAGTGAAGATGCATGTTCGTCAACATTCTGATGGATGGGTGGTTTGGTGTTGTTTAGTTCAGATGAAATGAGTCTCAGGTCCTTGGTGCGTTTTGACTGACTAATTTCGAGATCCGTTGAGCCTTGGTACACTCAGCTTTGCTGCCTTTCCTATCATCATTTTCTCTCACTTTACTAGTGTTTATTTATCGCTTATATTTCTAGTGTAAATTTAATTGCTTTGAGCATTTTCTCGCCCATGGTGCCGGTGCACGCACCTCATTTCTGCGAGAGTATTTCCTGAAATTCACCTATCGATGCTTGTGGGTTATTATAATCCTCTCAATATTTGTAATGTTCTTCTATGTGACTGAAATGCAGGCTGAGTTAACTGTCTGTCATCTGGTTTAAACCAGTACTGTGGTGATTCTCAACGTGTTAACCAAATAATCTCCTACTTCTTATTCTTCGTGTATCATCAAGCATCAAATATCTTCCGAGTATTTTAATCAATCACTCTAAGCCAGATGGAAACATCAGGCGTCCTTGCGTACGACAACACAAGTTGGACTGCACTCCTTTTCTGGTTGTCAGGCGACGAAACATAGTTAAGTCATTCATTTCGGAGATTGCGGTGATGACATATCGATATTCTTCCCGTCATCTCACTTTTATTGATAACGGTGTGTTGATGGGTCACAGAGAGTATACTGTGATTGGTTTTGTTTGCCAGTGAACAAATGTTATCCTACAGTTGATATAATTTCAATGCATGTCTTTACCCATATGCATCTTTTGTGGAAACTGATATCGTGTCCCCTTATTGACTGATTACTGTCGTCATCCGTTGGGTAACTTTTCTTATTATGTTTCTTCTCTTTACTTTGAAATGTCTGTGATGATTGGATTGATTTTCTGCAGTAGGATCACAACCTCCAAGCCCTATCTTCCTCCACTCTCACTCTCACTCCGTCTAGCTGGGCTTAGAACAGGCTAGCGAACTATGCGAATTTGTATCAGTAATGTCATGCAAGGCTTCTATACGATTCAGAGACTTGACATATCAACGAATGCATTCCCAACTGGCTGTGCCAGACTTGCACCAACCCCCTCCTTCAGTGGGTAAATAATGAAGATCAGATGGCAGTCATGAAAGGACGAGTAACAAGTAACTCTAGCAACGGGCCATTCAGGAATCTGTCGCCGAACAGGTGTGTGCAAGGAAACACAGATGAATGGTTCAAAAGCTGAGGAGACATTTCAGTGAATGGAAGAAAGCGAAGTCACTGGTTGGGCGTCGGACAGTGACACTGAGGAGACCGTGTGAATAGGAGCAAGTGTAACCTCTTGTGGGCAATCATGGAGTCTGCTGGGAAAGATTGAATGGGACGGGATAAAACGGAGACGTGTTCCGGAAGACCTGTGATCCAGTTCAAGGCAAAAAGTGGTAGTAATAATAATAATAATAATATAATCTTATTAAGTTTCCTCTCAGTAATTCTACACTGACTTTTAGCTCTTCAGTTATTTTCTGAGTGGTCATCCCTTGAGTTTTCCCTTGCATAATTTTAAATTTAACAGTATATTATGCAAATTCTATACCTGTGCCTTACGATTTGAAGCTTACAAATGGACACTTCCTGACGTTTTGTGCAGATGAGATTGTGAAGACATTGTGTGCAATAATTGGATCCGAGTCTGCCAGCAGCTACTCTCCACTGACATATTATACATTTCAAGAGACAGCAGCTAATCTGACATAAACTGTGACACCACTGATGAAGGCAAAGAAACTAGAGAGACTATGCACGATCTTTAGAAGCTGAATTAGTCTAAGCAGTATTGCAGCTGAATAAGTCGTCGTTGGGGAATGTTTATCCGGAGTATTTCACAATCGAAATACGTCCCGCGGATATTGATCGACAAAGAAGCCGATGGGAAATCACAAATTATGTTGAATACATTGATGCATGCTGTTTGTCTAAGAATGCTGCACATAACAAAATTTCAACTCATTGTCTGCGAATACTGTGAATGGACTGGAGGCACACAGTCTACTGATTCCTCCGCCACATGAGGTAATATGAAGAATTTCCACAAGCGATTTCCGTATAACTTCTTTTGCAATACTTTCAATAAAGTCAATTGTTCTCCCAACCAAAAGATCCGAAACTTCACACTTCACCTACAGACGCAAGCTGCAAAATGTAATTTTAGGGATTAGCTCTACACTCAACTCAGTGAATGGCTGATTGTTGGTATTCTTACTGGAAAGCTAGAGAAAGAATTAGTTCGAATTCCTTCATGAACACTACGAATTACTAACGATGTATATATAAAAGACGAAGATATCAGCAGTGAATACTTGACTCCAAATACCTTCAAGGCATATATGAAATGCAGTTTAAAGTTGATGATGCAGCTGCTCATCTTGAAAAAAAAATAAAAAAACTTTTATCCGGCTTTGATAGATCCCCACACAACCAGCTAAATTACTAAATCTTGGATTCCTTCGCGGAATGTCCTCCTACGAAATACTTGTCAGTTTCGAAATGCTCATTGCTATAAATGTGTTCCGATTAAGCGAATACAGCCCTTAAGCAGAAGGTAGAATAGTTTGGCCATGCAGAAGTCCAATGATTTATTCGGTGTATCCGGTGAGAAGGTTTCGTCCTGGCTTCGAACGTTCACAACACTTTCTTGATGAGAATTTCCACTACAAATTCAGAACATTTCCAGTCTTTCATTACACATAATATAGGCAATGAGTTTATTATATGCAGTGCTGTGGCGTATGCTACTGACAATACTTATCAGTAGTATATAAAGAGACTTTCATCGGCATTAAGGCATCAAATAACAGGAGATGGATTTGTTGTCATAGGAATTAAATGACACAGCGTTGTGGAGATACATGGGTGACGTGAAGGAGACAGGAAGAAACACAATATGAAGACAAGAAGTAGTACAATACAGTAGATCTGTGAAAACAGTGTGTTGAAGATAAAGTGTACATAATTTGCCTACGTGTAGATACCGAATTGCAGATAAACATGCCATTACCAAATCTTTCACCTTCTACCGTCACTGTGTGAATGTCCCGCCACTTTTATAAATGTGTATTGTGAAGCCCACTACCAGTCTGGTTTTTCGTGTTACTGATCACAAGCTATACACTATGGTTACCACTGAATTCTCATTAAAGTCAGGTAGTAATAACCTTGTAAATTCCCCCTCTCTCCTTGACAACGTTCCTGTATTCGTGAAGTGTCATGAAACTAGTGATTTGTCTTCACTATTGAGTCATTTTGGAAGACATGTTATGCGACGTATTGATCGCCTTTTTATCAGTTCACCCTACACACCTGTTGAAGAATCGCCACAAGTTCAATTCGATTTGTCAGAAGTAGAGAGAGGTCTTCGCTCGGATATGAGTGGCAGTAAAATAAAGTGCACATAATATAAGGCATACTAATTCCTCTCATCTCTGTACTTTGTTATTTACTTTCACGTCCAACATTATACTACTTATTATAGATCAGTAAAGTGAGTTGTATTTGTAAAAAACTTGAGTAAAATGCCGAGCCTTTTGAACTGTACATCATTTAATGTGTTTTTTAACTAATCAACTGGATTATTGCTGAGGATTTCTCAGATGGCATATACACAGTGAGTGTGACTAATTGTCTACAATCATCTATCTGTCTTCAGAACCAGAAACTGGATGCTCAACACAGTAGGACTGTTTTAATCCCACATGTAATGACTACAGGAAGTAATTCATCAAGTGAGGATCTAATGCATCTATAAATTAGTGAATATATTTCCTTGAAGTCTCCCGGGATGGTAAATGTGAGTTGGAAACAATTAGTCTGAATGAACACTTACTCTAACAGCTTGTTCTCTCTGCAAAAACAACTGAGTGTTTGATACACCAAGTCAATAGGATATAGTAAACGCGAAGTGGAACTGTCTTGAAATTTAGTAGAGAGAAGACCAGTAGTTCAACAAAAGTCTGTTTCCGGCGAATTCATTTCCACAGCTGTACAATCGCAAATACATATTTGGTTATTTTGTATGTGTGCTTACAGTAAATTTTTCCAGTGAAAATACAATTGGTTAGGGTTGTTGTAACTAAGCGGGTGAAAATTAGTGAGTTTTTGTTGGAGTTACGCAATACCTCTTGAAATCCACTATGGAATCAATGATGAGGTTATGGAAGAGAATTTCCTAAATCTGTAAAGTGGCTCAGGAAACATTCAGAGAGAGATTATGAAACAATGTGCAATCAGCGTGCTAGTTTTTTGTGTATATCTCTCATTCAATCCGACCTCCGAGATTGCCATGTTCATCTGAGACACATGAATCATGCAAAAATAATTGAAGTGGCTGGTTCCAATGATAATTTTAGTGATCTGATTACTAATCGCAACTTTGTAGATAACTGTGAAATAAATACGAATGAGGGCTTCACCACAAAATACATGCAGCCTACACCACCGAAACCAAACAAACTTTCTGAATGCAAAATACTTCACCATGTGAATCGGTAAATTAATGGGGACTCATCCTCAGAACTGAACTTCAACTCAGTCTCTCTTCAAACCAGTAACTAATATCAAGACGAATTACAGGCCACCATTACTGGTATCATAAGTGTGTATTTTCTAATTCACTGGCTCATTTGGTGCTGAGTGTGTTGGCCTCACTCAGAGCTTGTTATCCGGACGTAAAATCGGACATTCACCAGCATTGTTTTAAAAAGGAGAGCGAATATCACACTGCAGCTCCATTCTCCAAGACGTGACGGATACTGGACATGAAGTGAGTCCACAAACCAACATTAGACTTATCTACAGAATACGTGGTAGTCTTGCTAACGGAGTAAGAATCAAGTCAAGTCATTTAATCTGAGAAAGCAATTGCAATCTGCATGGTAAATCCAGAACTTTGGATACAGAAGAGGTTTGTTCAGCCGCTGAGCCTAAAATGGCTCTAATCCACCTCCACTTTTCATATGTTATTCTTGTTAATCCTAAAGTTTGAAAACATTTCATTATTTTTCTTCTTCTTTATCATCCATTGCTTTTCTATTATTTTTGACAGGGATCTTAACTCGGCCCTCTTGCAGTTTTAATCTGACTCTACTCAATCCTACCAATTATGTGACATCACTAAACTTTCTCTTTATTCCATTTTAGTTTCTACACGAATCATGCTTTCTGTATCAAAAAATGGTTATCTAAATCGTACAACTGTCACGACACATCCTTGAGGACAATCCTGTTCCCGATAAGCGCGAAGCGAGGATCTACGTCTTCCTGGTGATTGTGCCTAACTATGTGACATTAATGTCTGTCTGGAAATGGAGGATAAATGCTTTCTTCTAAATGTCAAAGCAGGAAAAACAACATTGGGATTAGAAATATCGCTCGTGTTTACCGCCACTGCCAAACTCAAAACCGACCGGTCGAATGTTATAGACACACCTGAGATGGACGACACCATCACTCCTGATGTCCCAATAGTATTTCTGACATGAACATAAGGTTTCAAAATTTTCATTCAGCGCTACAATATATGGTGATGGAAGGTGGATTCAGGATTCAGAAATGATACTACAGTGTTTGCGCAGGACATATTCAATTATGAAGTGTTGGAATGTGCAGATGACTTCATGAGACGATTCACTGGGAGAAGGAAATGTATTTCGTACTGAAATTTGTCACCAAGAAGAAGAAACAAACAGCAGCGTGTTGAAACTAGACCAAACTCAGATATGGATAGAGTGGGAGGAAGAAGTTGGCAGCAGGTGACAACAAGTGCTGAAGTCTCCAAGTAGCTTGGAGAGATCGCACTCGAAATAATTCCAAGTCGGATGAGCTTGGCATGTCCTACAAACGAAAATATTTGAGAGAAATCTTGAACAACAATGCAATTATGAAGTAGTATGGAAAGCAAGAGATGAAGACAAAAGTAAGCAGAAAACGAATGATATTTTCAGCCTGAAATTTCAGTCTTATATTTCTCTGGTTTTCGCTAGCAGTGTACATCGTTTCGCCAACTGGAGAATTCCGCTACCAGATGTGACAGTGCTCTGTTATTGCATTGTTAATTCACTAGCTGGATACGACTCTTCTGTTTTTCCAAAGGATTTAGCTTGATGCCCATTTGTCATAATACAAAGTCAGCGAGCTTAAGAAATGTGAGCTGGTTCACTGTGCACAATATTTCTTTGGAACACCCCACCTTCCCTTTTGTTTTTCAAACTACTATGAAGTGAGCAGTATATTTCATTTCTTGAGTGATTTCGAGATGGTCATGGTGTGGGAGATCAGGGTAGCAAAAGTTTCATTTGATTGGTGATGAATAGCTTTGAAATTCCATATGAGAATATCCGTCTATCTGAGATTCATCAGGTGGATGAACCTCAACAATCTCCACAAAACCCAAGAAATGAACAAGAACGGACAGTTCAACCGACGTTTTCTCTTCAAAATTACGAATTATAATTACTTCAAAGCACAACTAAAAACATAAAAGCAAACTGACTCTTCGCTGAAATCGGAGAGACGGAATGACATGAGTTAACGAAAGCCTTCGAAAAGCGAGTCGATCGATGTGTACCCTTTTGATGAGAACCAAAATAAGGATGGGATCGTGGGGTTTCTCGCACAATGAACAAAGCTGTGAAGGTTACTCAGACTGCGAAAGAAATGAGGAGATACGGTGTAGAAGTGTCGGAAATCTGTGATAGAAGATG